TGTTTGCTCCATAGGCACACTTTACACTGTCTTCTCAGAATCAAAGGAAAATGGCTCATAAATGTGAATCTTCAGCACCTGAAATGCTCCTGAAAGGAGAGACCAAAAGATACTTCCAATGGACATGTGCATCTCTACCCCAAAGACAAAATATCTCCTGTAACTTCTGTCTTTATTACTTTATATCTATATTAAATACTTAGGAACAAGCTCAGGTGGAGCAGTCACAGCTGAGAATTGCACTCTTGCAAAACTAGCTCTTTCCAGCTTCTGAAAGAATGTTCCCTGGAAATATTCCAGTATTAAAATTTAAAGTAGGAATCTGTTTTCATTAAAAACATCTGCAAAACATCCTCTGTCAAAGGAAAGAGGATAGGCTATCCAGCTCACCTTCCCCAAGCTGTCCCAGCAGATATATACACATTTACACCATCCCAGCTGTTTCACAGCCAATACCAGACTCCCTGACACTACATTCTTTTACCCACGCTGTTTTTAAGATCCATACGTGACACGGAACTTCACAGTTACAAGAATTATTCCAAAGTCAGTGCATCTTACCCACTGAATGGTTTCCTGATGTTCAGACTGTTTTCCTCATCTCAAAATAATGTCATCATTGCCATACCCAAAACATGTTCCTAAATAATTCTCCCTCTGCTGCTCGTGACCACCAATTTTTTAGCTGGCATTGTCTCCCTTAACCTCTACCTGTCCACATAACACAAGAAGGCTTTGGAATACACTGTCTTTTAAAGACCTAGCATCTTTGTGGCAACCAAAAATTACAATCTCAACAGTTTCTCACTCATGCAGTAATTGAATTAAGCACTGAATGACTGAATGCTCACAACACCCGTGACAGTAAGTCCTTGTCAGCACTGAGAAAATTTGATGGCTTATTCACTGGTGTCTACTACACCACCTGCTTAAAATAAACAATAATGTATTTGCAGCTTGTCCCACTGGACTTTTAGAAGTAGAAATGTGTCCTTAGGATTATGATTTCAAAAAGATTACGACTTCCAAGGTCATGTATCATGTTTTTTGCATTTTTCATTAGTTCTTCCACAATTCAAGGACAATTTCAAAGGCAACCATAAAAATGGTTTTTTAGACATGCAAATTCATGTCTAAAATTATCCAAAGTCTAAAGAGCCATATATTGCCTCTTTTTAGCAATCACATATCCACAGTAATAATTTTAAATTGCCAGAAATCATCATATACATACTACTTACACTCTCTCTTGGATTTTTGAAAATAATAGACTGTGTGATGACAGAACACTCAACAGTCTCATTAAAGCTCTGAGCAGGAGCAAGGAGAGTAAAAAGGAAGATGTAATTTTCCTCTGCTTTTCATGCACTTCCAAGTGCAAATTTACATGCATCTATGTATTAATTAAGGCATCTATGTATTAATTAAGGCAAGGTGGAGAAAATATATCATTCTGATCTAAACTGGCCTGCTGCAAACACTAGTTTCCCCAACATGACATTCAGATAATTGCATATCTAACTGCAATAGGTCGCAGGGAGGAATAACAGCTGTGTTCAATACCCCACAATTACCTCACTTTGTCACCTTCTGATAATCCAGGACTACAGAAATGTATGACTAATGGGGGACTTCATCTTATTGCAAGAGAAGAGTATCCATGTACCAGCCTTGGGATGACAATGGGAGCGGTCATCATTTACACACCCTGAACATAACAAGTAGGGTAAATATCCAAAGCATATGCTAGAGGTGTTAAAAAATGATAGCCCGATGTCACATTAGAAAATAATTATTCAGTATTAACAAATTAAGCAATTTAACAAACATAGTAGTGTCAGATATGTAGCTGGGGATTTTCCCTGGGTATTGCCTTTTGCTTTGTTTTCCTTCTTTTTGTATAATGTTTCCACAAGCTACAAAATCTACAAAGACCTTATCCTGCCAGTCAAACAAGAGCACACAGCTCAAGTCAAACTTCACTTACACAAAGGACTTGAACTCAGTAATCTCCACTGACAAGGTGTACCATGGATGACAAGTGTCACTTCCCTATCCCAAGGTGTTGGATTTCAGACTCTGAAAAATTTAACTTTGGCTTGGTAATTTTTGGCCTGACACTAATTTTAAGGAATTCTTTGGTATTAAAGAAACTAACAAAAGCACACCCCCAATAGATATATAGAACATTCTCATTAATATGATTAATATGTTGGCTTTTCTTTTCATGTTTCTATGCACCACACCTTCAAAACACCTGTTCTTCAAAACCCTACAGTATTTTTTCAGTCATTGGAGAGAGAGATAACACTAGGTGGGGGGGTGGGAGGTTACATTTTTGCTTAAGACACTATTCTGATTATGACATATACGAAGGAGGGCTTCTGCTTTCAAAAGACTATTGAGAAACTGCATTAAAACAACTCCACATGCCCTTGATATGTTTTGGAGAGATAAAATCTCGCTCCTCCTACTCACTCACATGAAGTAATTGGGCTGCTTTACCTTTCAAAAACCATCACTAAAGTGTTGGCCCATCTGTTAATATATGCAACCCTGCCTTCAGATTTGTTGCAACAGAATTTCAAACGCAATTGTAATCTCAAAAAGCAGTAGCTCAAAACCTTTATCTCTGCCCTTCCCTGTGCTCTGTAGATCTGAGCATCCAACAGCACCTATTTTTACATTTGCAAGAGCACTCAGAGTTTGCCTGACCTTTCCAGGTTCATTCAACACTCCAGGCACTCTTCAAGCAGCTATTTTGCTGCCCTAACCCCAACTGACCACAGGTGTGAGGAATACCAGCACCAGCCTGTGTCAGCTAATTACCCAATAATTAGGCAAGACACATAGCCCTGGACCTTTATAGGGAAATCTAGAGCCAATTTCAGTCTGAACCTCTGAATTCTCTGAATATCAGGAAGTCACCTCATATTACCAGCTAATTAAGGGGCTAACTTCATCTGCAGTCAACCTGGGAGATATTTGAGCCCTAACAGAGAATGACAAGATTGACAGCTAATTGTTTCCAGGATCATGACATTACATTCAGCAGAACTTGTGTGACAGGTCACAAACAGGTGTTTCCAAAAAAAAAAAAAAAAGTTGCTGCTGACCTCCCTGGATCTTAGACTCTTACACAGAACAATTGCATCAATGCTGAATCACTTTGAAAAACCCAGCTGATATATCACTGAGCCTGAGCCTCAGCTCCATCCTTAAAAATACCACCAGTAATAATGAATGTGTCTCCTTCGTTATTTTTTATTGATAGTTGGCAAGCCTCTCAAACAAATATCTTTTCCCCTGTCCTTTTATGCTGCCTTTCACTAACACATCACAGGCATTTCTAAAGGCATAAGATTTTAAAGTATCACTGTAATGCGAGCATCATCAATGGTGTTTTACAGAAGAAGCCTTTCTTTCCCCAAACAAGAAAAAAAATTAGTCTCTTTTGGAGAAAACTCACAAGCCATCAAGCCAAGACCATTAAGCTTGGCTCTCCTAGCTAAAGCATTGGTCTCATGCAGTGTTAGATGCTTGGAGAGCCAGATCCCAACACAAACACCAGCCTCTGTCTGACTTAAGTCAAAATACTGAGCTGCTAAACTAGACCATTTAGGCAACCTAAGATTTTTCAGTGGCTTGCTAGATAGGCCCAGACTTCTGAAAACAGACTCCCTTTCCTCAGCTCATTCTAAGCCATCCTAATTTTCCAGATCAGCTGCCAAAAGCACACATCATCACCACACCTTGGGTGAGTAAAGCTGGAGGCCCAGCGCCAAGTGTTGCAACCACCAAAGACCAGTGGGTGGGAAACACCAGGCACACATTGAACTGCTTATATTCTTCATTCTTCCTGGAGCTCTAGTAATGAAACTTGGAAATCTTAAAAATACTTAAGAGGTACTTTGGAAAAGAAAAGGGCCACATTTTTAAACCCACATTTCATTTTTTTTTTTAAAATAAACTCATGAGCATAACTGAACTATCAGAGTGACATCTTCCTTCTTTACTCACAGAAAACTATTGCAGTCTAACTGGTGACACGTAACGTCAAATTATCCTAACCAAGAGCAAAGAAAGAAGGTGAAAAACTGTCTTTCTGCCTAAGAGGGCTAGTAAAACAAAGATCCATCAGTAAAGAAAAAGGGAAAGAAGGAAAAGGAAAAGGAAAGAGGAAAAGTTTTTTGTCTTGACCATTTTAGATCCATGAAAAGGAGATGTGAAGGTTACTGCCAACAGATTCCTCTTATGAAGGGAGACTTGCTGGTTTGATACATGTTGCAGCAAAGCTTGATTGATACTGCTGTTGTTATCTCATCTTAAATGAACTGATCCACAGAAAAGGACTGTCTTAGAGGTAACAACATATGTTATCTCCTGAGTTATCGTTCCAGTCATCTGCACTCTTGAAAGCAGTTTCCTTCCATTTTTCATCTTCCACAATTGAAGTGACATCTTTTCTTTCATCTTTCCTCAAAGGTTATGAACAAAGCTCATTGTTCACTCAATATTTGACTTCTTGGTATCAAAAGCAAGAGTAACTCTTTCCCAGAACAACTCACTAGCTGAGCTGAGCCCATAGAACTTAATAAAACCCCCATACTTCAATGACTTCAACTACAAAATTCTTGTTTTTCATGATGATGCATGGCTACTTAGTATTTGAACAGCAGCTATTATTCTGCAAGTATATTTTTGCATACAACAATAAGAAAATAAGATCTAAGAATGCCAGTTAAATATAATTTCTTAAGAAACTATTTTTCTAAGACAAGTATTAGAATCTCATGAACTGTTATTTGGATGGCAGTGGAAATAAAACTGTAGCAGCAGCTACACACTGACCACCTCACTGCTGCAGAAGTCAAAGGAGTTGGTATCACAAATTCTGTTGCCATCACAAACATCTGTGAGCTTGCAGCAGGCGAACGTTTATTAGTCCAGTACCAAAACATTTGTGTGTCTCCTTCTGATGAGATTTTTCAAAATACACTTTAAGAGTGTTTACTTGAATTAGGCGATGAATAGTTTTTAAGCCGCTTCTTTCGTTCCACGGCAGTTCGCAAAGCCTGGAGAATTAAGTGTTTATTATTCAGGATGTTGTAGCTGCACAGGTTAAGCAGCTTGTTGAAATTCTCTTCGCTGTAGGTAAGCAGGCCGGTGCCATAGGGAGCAGCACAGTTGGACACATCCACTGCTCCCTGCTCCATCTCCGCGGGACTGCGCTCCACATCTGAAACCAGAGCAAAGCACAGCAAAGGTATTGAGGGGGGAAACTGCAGCCAGGCAATGCAAAACACACAGTAACAGGTACAAGAAGATTAAGTATCTCCTGAAAGTGGTTCAATATTTAATTGCTGTATAGTAACTATGTCAGCTGCACTCCTAAAATCCACTAGTTTGCTGCTTGGCTACAGTCCAGACTTGGCCTGCAGAAAAACTTTCCATGCAAAAAGCTTTCATCTCTAAATTAAGGTTTTGCATCAGAATATTTAATTTTTTTAAGATTTGGAATTTTGTATGTTTAATGTTTCAGTTGAGTTCTGAGATGACAGCTCCTTATCTACCAAGCTGGTAGAAAATTACACCAGAGGACTCCTGGATTGGGAAACCTCCCTCTCAGATTTTAGGTACATGCAGCAGAACAAATAAGATCATTAACAGCGTGAGGCCTTTTTCAATAAACTGCTTCATAGATTTTTGTTAATTTTTTGGGGAAAGCTTCCTGGATCATAGAAAATTAGAAATAAAAAAATTGGAGTTGATGCACATAAAAGTATTTGTAAACTGAAACTGAATTTGACAGGTAGGTTTTTTCCTAGTGAAACAAACATACCTCCTGTTGCTGGACTAAAGGAAACAATCTGGCAACCTTTCAAAAATTATAGGTATCAAAGCAGCTTGTTACCCTGGCAAAGCCTTTGCTTAATAAAATATTTTCAGCACTTTCTATTCCCAATTTTTTTCATGTAAAAAAAGTAATAGGGGAATTCTAGCTTTGTTAACCAAGTAAACATTAAGTAAACAGTCTTTGTGAGACTGTCAGGTGACAGCATAAGCTACCAGTGGATATAACTTAGTAGCTGTGTCCTCTTTATTATCAAAGTTACATGACCTGTTTCAAGGTGGTTTCCCTAAATGTACAGCTACTCATGCTTTTATTTTTAAACTTCTTCATCCCAACCCCTGATTAGCTGGCCAATACTATATGCATCACACCTGGACTGAGAATATAATAATTTAGCCAACTCAGAAGCTTGCCAGTGTCTTGTTTTGGAAGAGGAACAAATTAAATGCATCAATTGGATGAGACAATCTCAAAAAAATTATTACTGCTGTCAACTTACTCGGTGCCTTGTATTTTTGGAAGGTATCACACACCAGTGGAAAATAGGCCAAGATGGGTGCCTCTAAGCTGTCCTCAAACACATAGCACTCCTTCAGGTGTTCCCGGTCTTCCTGGCTCAGCTCTGTGCTGGGGAATGGGATCCCGTGCTCCAAACAGTACTCTGAGAACAGGTCCAGTGGCTGGCTCAACAGAGGGGAGAGATGCAACACAAAGAGAGCTTGAAGTAAGACCACCAAAACTCATAGTATTTTATTGTAACAGACAATCTGAGATGGATTCACATGTATATAAATAATGCACTATATATGTTTATAAACTACGCACTGGAACAAACATGCCATCTTAATTTTAATATATCTTGGGTAACAGAAATTTGGTTGATTTGCTAACACTTTATATTTTTAAAGTAAGGTTATTGTTTACTGAAATTTATGTGACATTCAGGTAATTTTTGTGATTTAGTGAGCACAGTAGAGGATTTGGATAAGGAAAATTTGATTACATGCAGCTTCTCAGATCAGAGGTTCTTAAATACTTGCATTCAGTGCATCTAACTATGTCTTCATGTCCTCTTACAAATAAATTACATTAATTTCAATCATATAAGCCCCTCAAGGTTTCTTAAAATGCAGAAATTGCAACCCTGAGTAGAACTCATGCCAACACAAAGACCAAACATAAAAGCAAAACTTTTCATTTAAAAAAAATTTTAAATTATGTATTGTGTATTAATTACATTGTAGAAGTTATTTAACTATTGAGGAACCAGGACATCAGATACATAGAACAGGACATGTTCTGTATGTCTGTGTTCATATGCCTGTCCCAAAAAGACACTGAAAGCAGTTCTGATAAAGGCAGTGACATTATGGTCACAGTTGTGAATGGTACCATTGATATTATCATTTAATTTAATAAAAACCAGACCATTTTCTGAAGGGGAAAAAAAAAAAAAAAAGAAAGAGAGAAAGCTGTGGTGGTAATTCAGCTGCTGGAGTCATACAGATAAAGAATCGCTGCTTCAAAACATCACCAGAGTCTGTGATCCTCCACTGTAATTTAAATGGAGAATGACATCCACTTTTCTCTCTGGCCTCAGAATGGGTGGGCAGCTGGTGTTGATGAAGAAAGCTGTATCTATCAGCTTGAGGTAGTCACTCATGTCATTCAGCTGGTTGGGAGAAGAATCCAGCACTGTGTCTGAAAGGCCAAAACTTTTGTTATTATTTACTGCAGGGTCAAGTCCATTTTTTTCCAAATTAGCATAAAAAAGGAGGAAGAAAAGACAGTTGATGTATATTCATCTTTGACACAAAGGCCACGGTTAAGTATTTGTCTTTGACAAATTTAGATGAGCTCTAGATACCAAATTTTGGTATCTAGAGCTCAGCTCTGGAATCAGTAAGAGGGGGCAGTTCTGAGACTCAGCTTCATCCAAAGTGACAAATTGCTCTTCTTTTTCAACATTTTGAATTTGTTTATTTTTGCATTTGTGTAAATTTGTATATTTGTGTAAATTGGTGGCTATTTAACTTCCTCGGAACCTTCAAGTCACTCTTTGATGGCTTTTCCTAGGAAGATAAGAATTCAAGCAAAGCTGCTGTGCTTTCTCCAGGACAGGAACGAGACCAGGAGTAAATCATCAACGGCTTGGCAAAACCCATTCCACAAACACATTATTCAAATAATATTAATCAAAATCTGCCTTTATGATAAAACTTATCAAATATTTGTCCTCAGCAAGTATCAGCACTCAAATCTCCCTCAAAGATATCACTAAAACAATTTCCAATTACCTTTCCACATACAAAAGCTCTCATTCTCCAAATATTTGTTATTTAGCTGCAAGCCCTTGAGGAAATTATGGTAAGTTGAAACCACTGGCCGCCCGGTCATCATTTCTCGAAGAGTTTTGGAAAGGCAGCCTTTGGGAATGGATAAGCAGGTTGTCTGTTCATGAGGCTTCTTGGGCAGAGCAGGATGGTTCTCTGTAGGAAGAACAAGAAGAGGGTATGTGTCTGCATTTGGTCAGGGTGTTTCTCTGATAATAATAACACCCAAAGCACCGTGGCTCCCAGCCCCATCTGTGACCGAGGGCAAATGTGGGCACACATCTGGGCAGTGGGTCTCAGTGTCACACCACCACCTTGTTCTTCCCTGTCTGGCCTCTCCCTCCCCAAAGGGCTCTGGCAACCCTCTCGTGACTGACAAAACTCCCCAGGGATGTTGCACACAGCGAGCAGCACAATGTTTTTTCCTGTTTTACAGCACAGCTGTTGGCCTCCTGTTTTTCCTTCATGCCCAAGGGATTGGTGTCCTATAAGCCAGAAATAGGACACAAAAACAAACCCTTTACCAAATGTCAGGTTTCACATTTCAGAGAGGTGTGACTGAAATGTAGATGCAAGAGAAAAGTAATCTAAAGAACTAACCAATGTCATGCTCAGTGTCTCGAGTCCATCTGTGCCAGAAGTGTTCTGAATGACCTGAGAGGTAGACAGCATCCATAAAACTCTGGGAAAATATATTGCTCCATGTGCCTTGAAAGTTTAAAAAAAAAAAAGGCAACACACTTAGTATTAGTTTGAATTTCTAGAGCACAGCTATGGCAACACACCTGAATCCACTCTCTGTTTCAGTTATGAAATACTATGAATTTTCCTATAAATATCAAATGCCACGCCGTTCCACACAATGTCTGGCTTACGACCAGGCCATTTTCAAAACTTGGCTGTCTATAAATTCACTCCAGGCCGTGAGTTTAGATACTTCAGATGATCAGTTTGTGTGTGTGTGCACATGCGTGTGTTCTGTTTAGCTCATTCAGCAAGACATTCAGCAAATTAGTCACATTTGTCTCAAAAATTAGTTTCCTCTTTCATCACTTTTGGCTGGTTCCTTTGAGACTGAAATTGCATCAGATACATTCTCTGGTGTACTAATATTGCAACTTGCAGAACACCTCTGTGTAGCCAGCTCTGAAGGTGATGTTTTCTTGAGACAGTAAATTACCTTCCAAGAAGCAGATGTGGGATTCCGGGATCTTCTTCATCCGGCGACCCATGAAGAACTCACTGCCAAAATCCTCTGAACGAACAAAGGCCCCATATTTCAGGAGACCCACCTCGTAAGGTGTGAATTCCACCCACTCTGCAAATAAGACATCAAACTGGGTTTATTGCAGCCACCTGAACACGTGTAAAAATCAGCTTAGACAATCGGAAGCTGCAAGGAGCACAAGGCCTGTAGCTGCACCGTGGTGGTGACAGACAGTTCAAACCACCATGTTTTGAAACAAGCAGATGCCCTTCAACATACATGAATGCAAAAGCTAAATTCATCTCCTCTGCCAAAATCAATTCAGTTTGGGATTCAGGTCCATTTCTGCACTAAGAAGCAAGACCTGGGGCTCAAAGTCCACTGATTGCTAAGGCCCTGCACACAATGTGGCATTCTGAGTTCCTCTGAGTAAGCTATGACACCAGCTACCATTCATTCTTAAGACTCTTTATAATCACTGCCTTGAAGTGACTCTGACCAAACCCCCTCCCCACACAGAAACCTTGGCTGGGTGCACTGGGACTGCAGCTGTGCCTAGGAGCAGATGCCCAGGCTCAGCTGCAGGACTTCCTACTTACTTTGGGCTGGAAACAGTATGGGAATAGTGGTCAGGATCACTGATCAGGGCACAGAGCCCTGCCCCTCCTCAGATCCCTCTCTGGCCGCTGGGAGCTGACTCCTGCTCTCACCCCTTTCCACGTTTTCCTTTCTCTTCCCTTCCTTGCCCTCCTCCCCACTCTTCATAGCTCTCCTGGACTAGTGCTGCCTCAGCAGAAGACCCAGCAGCTGAAAGGGGCTGTGGGGGCAGGTGGGGACAAGAGAGAAAAGAGCAGCAGTGGTGGCTCTCAAGGCTGCCAGAAAAAGGCACCTCCATCCCCACACTGAGCAGCATTGACAGCACAGGTGTCTCCCTTCCATACTGTTAGGATGCATGTTTTTCATCCAAACAAAAAACAGATGTGAACACAGGGGAAAGGAAATTATTTAAAAGATTTACTGGCCTGGACTTACAGTAAAAAGTTTGGGCATTCAATCAGCCTTAAAAGGAAATTCTTCAGAGTTATAAGAGGGTGTAGGATAATCTGTACCTTTAAAATCCAAAGTGCTGAAGTCATCCTTGACATTGAGGGACAGGTATATGGGGAGTGGATTCTGCCCCCGATTTACTGCTAGCTGCTGATCTGAGAGTTTGTGAGTACTTTCCTGTTTGCAAAGAGCAAAAGTCATTGTAAGAAGATGATGCATGGACTAACTACAGTATCAAAGCATGAACTATCAATGAAGTATCTGCCAAACCTCAGCAGGTTTTGTTCTTTGTATTTTAGCTCTCTGGCCACACAAGTGTGTTGATGTGTTATCTGCCATGAGCCTTTGCCAAGGCATTGTGCTTGTGGGAGTTTTGGCAAGGGGAACAGTGCAAAAATGCGAGAAACATGTCTGTGCAGTCAATGGGATATGACTTGCTGTAAGGAAAGAAAGATATTTAGTCAGCCTGGACCATTTCCTTCAATATAGCTTATGGGTATGCATTGCTATGCCTGAACTTAGCTCTGTCAGAGCCTTCTCTCCTCTGTATGTTACTAGAATGATTGCCTGACCCAAAATTAAAAATGGAAAATCAGTTTCCTTAATATCTTGAATTTTTACATGCTCAGACATCTCCTCTAGATGCTCGTATTTTAGGGTTACTTTGTTACTTTTATTCTAAAAAGCCAAAGAATAAGTCCTTCAGGTGTTTTGAGAGCCTTTTCTGTAACTGAATCCATGACCTTAGGCATGAGAAGTTAGAAATCCTCTGAAATAAGAGGGAGAGAAAGAATATCAAGTACCTGATGATGTAGCATACAATCAATGAAGAGTCCCCATAAATCTGTAAAGGACACCTTGTGCCCCTCTTGCTTTCTCTCACAAAGCTTATTTTCATAGTATTTCATATGATCCAAAGAGAAACAGTGCAGCTTGCTCTTGATCACGTGTTTCCTGATACCATCTACTGGCCCACTGAGATCCTTTTGTGACCAATTTGCATCTTCATATAACTTTGACATGGTCCTGGATAAAAGAAAGGTACTGTGGTTCATCACAGGGTACATGATAATTAATTTGGCTTATAACACATGTGTGGTTTTTTTCAGGCTACACAAGGTTCTTGCCCTCCAACTTTTACTTGGAAGAGCATTTCAAAGCTGAGGTAGAATTTTCACTGCATAACGATTTTTTATTTTTTTTTTTTGCTACACAAATACATTCAAAATCATCCCATCTTGTTTGTTTTTCAGAATCAAAAAAGTAATAAAGAAACACTGATAACTTAACTCGGGCTTATGTTAGAATCACCCTTGGGTTGCCCAAGCCACATCTTCTGTCTGAGGCCAGTTCCCTCAGGTGGGTCATACCCTGTGTGAAATGTTAAGCTGGAGTTTAGCAGCGACTCTTGCTCTGGCAAGTGCGAGAGCCCCTTCTTGGGCGTGCAGTAGGTGGGTCACCTCAGACTCCTGGCACTCCTAAGGGCAGGCTTGAGCTGCCAGTTCCCTGAGCTCCAGCAGATTCCAGTCATCCCCTCTCATCCCCACCCCACTTGTTCTGTCTCTCTTACTTTTAGAGCAGCCTTTCAGAGGCAAAATGTTTTAAATCCCTCAACTCCTCCTAGTCTGTTCAAGGCAGTCACCACTGAGTGCATGAATGACACTCTGTGTTTTCTTAGGGCTGTTCTTTTAAAGTCTGCTTTTTGGAGAGGAGTAAGAGTCGACCCAAACAAATATTACAAAAGGAATTCTGAAGTGTTGCATGCAACAACATAAGTTACAGGCAAACCTTCCCAGCTTGTGCTCTTTTGTTTTTGTTTCTGTAAACACTTCAGTGCAGTTACAAAAATACTGTAATCCTCATTAGATTTGTTCCTTGTAGGAGGACAGCGCTGAGTGGTCCTGTGAAACAAGTGCCAAAAGGAAGCCAAGTGCCAGCATCAACCCGAGTAAAGTCATCAGTAAAGCAAAATTGTTCACCAGGCTATCACTTTGCTAACACAAACGGCGAGTACAAGCCCAGATCTCCTTACCATGTCGTGGCAGATAAACCACTGATGTATGACACACAGTCCAGAACACCCAGCTGCTGGAGAGCCAGAAGACTGCCAAACATAGCTGTCATGGACCGCACTCCCCCTGCTGCAGTCACGACTGCCACCACTGGCACCTGCTCAACACACAAAGAAAGGCACAGAGCCACTCACCATCGCCAGGTGAAACACAGGAATGACAGCCATGCAGAAAAATGTAACAGCAACACCTAATTCAGGTAGGTTTTGATTAATTCACCCTCTTCAATGCCTAGCTGAAGAGTGTTTGAGTTGTGTAAACTTTGGTGGAATTCAGTGTATGCTGAAAGCATTTTCCTCATCAGTGATGCTTTGGAAAGTCAGGAGATGAAAGTACAGTTCTTGTATAGGAAAATATACTTTCAGATTTTCTCAATGTATTTAATTTTTCCTCAGCTTTTTCCCTCAAAACACCCTTTAAAACTCTGAGTATAACTAAGGTCAGAAGAGAAGCACAAAACCTGCCTGCATCACTTTCTTCTTCCTCTACATGTATATACAACACTTGCTATTCTCCAGGCAGGTAGTGCCCAGCTTTATAGATTTATTTTAACACCCTCTTTCCAACCCAGATTACCTCTACCTTCCCTGATATCAGTGCTACATGCAATTTAGTTTTACTTTCTTCAGAGATGCATTAATCCTGCTATCCATCCTCCCTTTTCTGTATAGTAAAAACTGATACAACAAATATTCAGTTTTAGGAACATATGATGCCATTACCTTTAATCTTGTCTTCACTGTATTTTACCATCCACTTGTGGGTTTGGGGTTTTTTTTTATTAATTCAGCTCAAACTCCTTTTTATTCTCATTTAATAATAACAAGTCCTATTATATCTGTTATTTAATTTCGTGAGCACTTTAACTTGGTTGAAAAATGCTGTCCTGCACACATAATAGAGGGTTGGGGGTGCTGGGAACTGAGCAGAGCAGTGGAGGAAACACCCCACAGGCACATTGTCCCAGAGTCTTGCTCCAAGCACCACAGCCCCACAACAGATTATTGTCCTCCAGTAACAGTGCAGCTACCTCTGAGTTCAGGGATCCCCAAGGGAGGAGCAAGCTAGAGGTAATACCAAAAAACACTCAAGACAGATGCTACTGTACCAGTGTGCTATGGGAGAGTTGCAGCCTTCCCTGTGAGCCTTGTGGCAGCACAGAAGAGGAGAAATGGCCTCAGCCTAAGCAATCAGATTTCACCAGGCTTGGTTATACACACCAGCATGCCAGCAAATACAGCCTTTGGGTGCCCCTGAGAGAGCACAGAGGTTGGCAGAGAATAAAGGAGCTATAACCGACCTCCTGACAGTTCCCCTTTCATCCTCTGAGCCAAAAACTTGGATATGGTCTTAGGCGCAAGTGATAATCTGGCTATGCCATTTAGTCTATGTGGAGGAGCAATATGGGAAGTCATGCAAGTACATCACATCCACCCTCTCAAAGCGGGTCATCTTACTTCAAGCTCCCAAGATGCTGTCCCACATACCTCATCCTCCTGCAGGTCTTCATCTAGATGAAGAACATTTTTCAGAGCAGCAGCAACCACCTTCTTCCTTTTACAGATGAAATCCTGCTCCTCCGCGCACAGATCAAACCCCAACCGCAAATCTAAATTCTCACAACTAGAAAATATGAACAGTATTGTTATCTGTAGCCCTTTCAGCTGGAGACATTCATTAAAACCAACAACAATAAACCAGTTTAAAGAAATTATACTTCCACATACATGAAAGTCCCCCTACAGAAATGAAAGCAGGTATATCCTCTATATAGGATATCCTGTATTGTACATTTGTGCCTTCCTGTGGATATTTTGGACCAGAATTAGGTCCTGAACAATTACACACAACCATAAGGAATTTAAATAAATAAAATATTCTGCTTATTTAAAACAAGGAAACAAACTGGATTCAAGCTGTTTCACGCTGAACCCTGGTATTTGGACACCCCTTCACATTTTCTTGCTATGTGTTTCCTGAAGCACAAAGAGGGCCTAAGCAGCTATTTAAACTTAACACACTGTAGTTAAAAGAACCCTAATACCAAGTTAGGCTTATGTCTACAAAGAATTTGTGCTCTATTCAGAGTCAGAAGATGTCTCTTAAATTTATCCCTTCTGTACATTATCACAAATATCATGTACCTGACTCATTCTATAACCTCTATTTTCACAGGGTTCCAGTTTCAGAGTTTTTTTTCAGGGGGAAAAAAACCCAAAAAAACAAACAAAAACCTCTCAGTCTCTTCTCTGAATATTTTTCAATAAAATCCTCTGATTTATCATTCACCTGCAACTAAGGCTTGCAATGGAGCTAACTCATCAACAGGGGGTAATGTTGCCCTTCAGAAAATCTCAGCAAGCCAGTCACTAAATAAATTACTGTCCATGTGTTTCATTGAAAAAATTACATGTAGAGGTCTTGTGGATATATAAAGACAGAAGCTAGACACATTAGAAATCTGGTACACATAAATATGCACATATTATAGATAAAGGTTACAAGACAGAGAGATGTTTAGGTACCAAAATTACAAAGCATCAACATTAGGAAACGCATTGTGATGGTTTATACCCCATAACTAGCCACCACCTATCCTATTCTAAATTCTTACCAACAAATTTAAAAGCTTTAAAAGCATTTTATTAATCATTCCCCATATTTTAGTCATCTTTATTTCCTGTTTTGAAATTAACTGCTTTAAGATGTAGCTTCCTTTCATCTAACAATGATACTATGAAAGGAGATGGCCTAAGTAATCATTCAAAAGCAATAAAAGATTTACCTATTTTCCTCATTCACAGAGACCTCATAAGATTCCCCCTGAAAATGAAATGCACCATAAATTTTAAATAGAATTGAAATTTTGTAAAAGCAGGTTTTACAGTATTAGCAATTATTCACAGATAAAGTCTAATGATAAATTTTTGGTCTCTTCTCTGGCCTTCAGCACACAATCATCATCCCACTTTTAAACTACTTTTAAAGCAGCCAGAAATTCTGGATATCCTATTTTCCCCCAAAATCATAGCTATATTTCTAAGTGTATGCAGAGCTAAGCCTACAAATAACTCTCTAATTCATTTTTAGTAATAAAATTATTATGTGACCAGATATCACAGTTTACCTTGTTGAAAAAATTCCAAATACTGTCAAAGGATACTCACTCTCATCACTGTCACTTTCTTTCCCAAGTCCAGAGAATGGAGAGGCACAGCCAGGGGACTACTTACATCCATTTCCTTCCTACCTGAGCCAGGCTGATTTAAAGAGGGGGAAAAATGTTATAAGGACAATATTATTTATAAACCCTAGACACAGAAATACCAGACAAGGGTTAACTCATGTTTCTTCTCCCAAAATTTTGGTTAGGTGTTATCACCACCCATAAGCAAAACATACACAACAGAAAAAACGCTCCTTTGGTAGAGTCATGAGCAGTCTGGGTTGACTGTGTTTGATGTAGTGGAACCTGGTGGTTTCACTGCTTCCTGGCCTGGATTGAGGCCCTATGGAAATTTCTTGAGTTTCTTCATAGGATCCTTTCATTGTGAATGTGAAATCTCTCCCTAAGAACAAGAAGCAAAGCACAGAGAGATGTTAACTGCTCCCAGTCCTGAAATCAGCAAATAAAAGTGCCCCAAGTGACATTTCAGCCTTAGTGCTGCAGGCTTAACTAAGGTTAATTTGGACCACAATGTTTTCCTCGCCCTGTGACCGGTGTGCAGCACCTGGCCCTTTGAGTTCCCCTGGACTGCAGGGAACTGACCAGAACTGACCAGCTCTCAAGTTTGCAGTACTCAGAGAACTGATCCCAAAAGCTGATGGCAGAGTGGGGGCTGACATCCCTGACTCCTCGAGGCCCAGCCCTCAATCCACTGAGAAATGCAAAGGCATCTGTTGTATTTCACCAGCCTTGAGGGGAATTTTTAGCAGGCACCTTTGTACATAATTCTTTGTATGAAAGCATGTGTGAATTTATTTGAATACTCCATATCAGGTAAAGTATGAATGTTACCATCCTACATTCATAATTAAGTTACTTATTGTTCTGCTTATAGTAAATCCCATTGAGTTGCTTTGTAAATGCAAAATTACAGGATGATTAAGTGCTGCTGAAACCTTTAGACAAACGATCAAGTTTGGCAAGAGGGCCCACTCGGAAACTCACAAATTCACTGTGAGGATCTTCACTCCTGGCTCCCTTTCCTTTGCCCTCTTTATCCTTTGGCATCCCTGGTCTCCACATAAATAATTCTAGATTGATTCTAATATGATTTTTCTTTGCATGTTTCATGCATCTAGTAATAGAGTGAACCCTGCCATCAAACTTTGTTGCACTTTTACAAATTAATGTTAAATCTACTTTTGCTGATACCTTTGCCAGTGATCCTTTAAGTGACCTAAACCATTTGTGACACCCTGCCCAGTGACAGTGTGTGTGACACTTGTGGATTCCTCTAGCAGCATTCACATCCCTTGAGCTTTCACTGAAGTCTTTCTCCTCCTGAGAGTTGTGTCTCCCTTCTCTTACTTTGTGTTTTCACCAGAAAACAGAGATAAAGGTATTTTGGTTCCATCACACCACAGTCATGTTTGCAAGTGTCCCAGCCACCTCCACAGTTTCCCTTAAGCTACACAGTCACACCTTCTTCTGAGGATTCTCACTAATAGCAAGTAGGTAATTCAGGAAATACCCAAGCAGCCCTGATGCAAACAGAGACTGAAACAGACCAAATCTTTATCTAGATTCAGCTGCATTTCCCATAGCACAAAGAGCAGTAACAAACAATTTAAATCAGCAACCTCACTTTTGTAAGAACTCTTCATTTTTGTTTCATTCACATGTACTTCCAAACAAGAAACTTCACGAGACTGGAAGAGAAAAGCAATAAAACCACTGGTCACAGAAACAGTTCAGGATTCTCACTGAGGTTCTAGGGGTCCTGTAGAAACACAATGCTTGACCATGGTGGCCTGTGGATGTGAAGAATTTGTAGAAACTGAGTATCTTGTATAAATTTTGCAAGCAGTACCATGGTTAAGGAAGCCAAAATAACTGGGGATCTGTCATCACATTTAAATACCATTCAGACCCCAACAATTAACACAAGAAATTTTTCTATCTTCCAACCACATCCTTCAGTTCTGCCCTACCATAAGATTAAAAAAAATTAAAAAAAAATTAAAAAAAAAATATAATAATTACCACTAGTACACCATTAGTAATTATCTTCTCAGATACTCCTGGTCTGAAAAGCAAAACCAAAAAGGTTTATTTAAAAGTGGATATTTAAGCAATAAAATTTCAAAAGCAAATAGTTCCCTGAGATCAGTTTTTCTAGCTGGCAAATACCATAAGCACTTCTGTCTCTCCCCTCTGTCTTTCAGCCTCTGCCAGATCACATCCCATGCCCTCTCAAGGATGCTCTTCTTTCTTATCTCTCCTGATGAGTATCATCTCTCCTTAGGCTGAATCACAAAATAAACACCCATTTTCAGCTTTAAACAGTAAGTGAGACTGTCACTCAAATTCAGGGGAGAAAAGCAGCAATGGGGAGGATGCTGAGATGGGGTGTCTGATCACAGGTCTGTGGAGTCAGTTCCTCAATGCTGCATTACCACTCTCTAAAATGAAGTTTTCTGATGACAAACTCTACAACATTTAGGTTTTACTTACATATTTTCCAGTAGGAATTCCACTTCTAGTTCTTCCTGATTCTGAAAATAGGACCTTTTTTTTAATTTATGAATGAAAAAATATTTTCCTCTGATACAACTCTGACAATTTGTTTATAACTCTCTCTCTATATTTCCACACCCTCTACATCATAATATGAATGGATACAGTTTTCTGTGGCCACACTTTGATTTCACCTTTCCACTGCTCTACTGCTTACAAACCAGCCGTCCCATCAAGAGAAAGAAAAGATTAAGTATCATAGAATAGGGAGCAAGGGTCCTATTATTAAATTATTAATTCATTCATTCATCAGAAGAGAGAAGACTGAAGCTGTGAAGGGGAATCAGGGAAAGAGCTCAGGAGAGATAAATCAAAAGGAAAGGAGACAGCAAAAGTATAAGAATCAAACAGCAACAGAATAGCATCATGATAGCTGCATCTGTGGCATATAACGCAGAAGCAAGTGGTTCTGCTTGCTAATTTCTCCCAAAGTCTCTAATTTTGTGAGAATTACAGTGTCTGCAAGTTTGTAACAGAAGGCTGAAGCACAGATTTTAGAAAGCAGTCACCTTACGCCGATGCAAGACAGACCATAGCAAATACCTGACTGTGCCCAGACTGTAAAATCCAAGGTAACTGATGGTCTGTTACAACTTTGCCCAAAGAACAGCAGAAACAAGATTCAGAAGAACCTGGCTCATAGCATCTGCCTAATTGTGCTTGCCTTACGCTCCCATCCTTCTTGTGCCAATTTACACTCACACATGTTATGTTTCTATTAAGTCCCACTCAAATATTTGTGGGTGAAAAACCCAGAGCACAGCAATGGAAATACCTGTTAGGCCACAGAGAGCAAGAGGCACAGCAAAGTCACCCTGCTGCTCTGGCATTACCCATGTGACCAGCTCAGCTCTCCTTCTGAGATACCTTGGTAGATGGAAGAAATCATTATGGGCAGAGGTGGCACTACAGCCACCTTGTTATTCTTGTTATTAAGAATGCCTGTTGCATTACTAAGTCACTTTCAAAAAAATAAAATAACCCAAAGTCCTCTAAATATTCATATACACACTGTAATCTGTGATGCCTCTTGGGTGTCTGATCCATCAGGAACCAAAGAAGGCCAGCTTGACCGGGATGTTCCTGAGACAGCTCACCTGCTCTGACCTCCACCACTTCCACCTTGCTAATGGGCTAAGACAGCTCTGCACACGCCTCAGAGCAAACTCAGGGCTTGAATCACACCTGGAATTATCTCTGTCACATGAGGCTTTTTCTGAGGAAGGCTGAACAGGTTTAGTAAGCAGTCCTCAGCAAGGATTGGTCTTCTAAAAGATGACCACTTCTAAAAGAGTAATTAATAAACACTCTCCAAAGCAATAGCAATATAAAACACAGGCAAGAGTGCTTTCCAAAGAGCCTGGCTGACACAATGGATTAGAAATAAACGGAACACAACAGTTCCTGGGAACCGTAAGCTGAAGCCCTTGGCAGAAGTGTGAAAAAGCCCTGAAGTTGTTACTACACGCACCAAACAGAAGTGTTACATTGTGCAGAAAGTAATCTGAGTACATATTCTGCTCTCTTTGAAGATTAATGTGATTTCTCCACCTTTCCTCTCAGCAACTTCATCTACTCAGTGTTTCATAAGATACTCCTTATGTCCCCTTTAATACAACCAAACACAATATTTTTTGAGACACATGCAACAAATAAAACTATTAGGTCATACACTCACTTAAAATAAAAAATAAAGTGCTGATGATATTCTCATTCATCAAGGCCTGCCCCTTCTATGCTGGCTAAGCCCCTCTAAAATAAGCTTTTAACCATGTAATAAAGGAGCATAAGCAGACTTGCTGAGACTTTTTTTCTTAAAGTTGTTTAGTAGAGGAGGAAAAAACTGTAAGAGATTATTACAAGAATGAAATGCTTCATTTAGCAAGCACAATATCTGAAAGAACTGCCCAAAATCCCAGGAGAAGCTGAGAGGAGGTAGCCCTAGTGAGCTCCTGGCCAAAGGGTAAGGGCAACTGCCTGGAAAGGGGGACAGGTTTGTTCCCATCCCTGCTCCGTCCATCTCTTACAACAAGACCCCCTAAACATCAGCTTCTTCATTTTTGACTCTTTTTCTCACTGATTTTTCAAAACATATTTTTGAAATTAGAAAAAAACAAACAAATTAGGAATACAAAAAGTGTTTTGCATCTTATTCCAGTCACAACAGGGGAGGTTTGTGACCCCCCCTCCTAAAACCCAAGCATTCAACCTTTTTAGTAACATCCTTTTTAATAAAGTCTTTGTGTGTGAGAACCAATTTAATGTTCAACAGAGGCAGTAATTTGAGACAAACTTCTAATCAAGAGTATTATTTTCTCTAGCCACTCACCTCTGGATTCAACTCAAAATTCAGGCGAGCTTTTTCTCCAGGCTGGATTTTAGCCACATCAAAGCGAACAGTCATAAGACAGTCATCTGGTGTAAAAGTATCCTCATCACAGACTGTCAGCTCCAGGATGTTCTGAGGAGACAGGCAGAGAAGGATGTAAATAACATTAATTTACAAAAAACAATAAATCTGGGACTACTGAGCCCAAAAGGAATGTTCAGCAGAGCCAGCATTCAGCCTCATGTTCACGTGGGCAGACTCCTGTGACAGCATGGAGCTTTGCTCACAGCCCAGGTGGCTCAGACAGCAGAGTCAGGGACTAACCTTAGAAGAGCTAAATCATCAGATTTGGCAATCAAAAAGAGATCCAAAAGAAGAGGAAACATAAGTGATAAATATGACGGTAACATGCACCAGACAGAGCAGAGGTTACATACACTATTCCTCAGATCGTTTGTGGATTCAAAATTACTACCTTGAGAAATTCTGGCATTTCATCAGAAAGTAATAACAAAGGGGAAATTCTCAGCCCTTTAAAATGGAAGTTAAAGCACACTATCAAACTTTTAACAGGATTTGAATTACAGCAATTCCCCTGGTAGCTCCTCAGGGCTCAGGCCACCCTTAGAAGCATGAGAAGATGCAGCACTAGTCAACGATGAGAAACTGATCCAGTTTGGACTTTGTATCACTTTCACTCTGCTCACCTATTTCTGCTAACTCTGTAAACACTTTAACAGTTTTTTACAACTGTTCTGGGACACACAGAAGCATTCAGCGTTATTCCAGATATTCCACAACCTTCTAGTCTTAAACTACTTCTTTCAGTCAGATTAACTGGGTTCAAGATCCGTGTGAGCCTCAAGCCTCTCAAAAAGAGTCTGCCCACAGCAGGTGAAGATGCCCCCTTTAGAAAACCCCTGCTCACTGTCACAGATCCCACCTTTACTTCACTCTGTAGGATGAAGTGGAAAGTTTCATTCCAGATGGGATTTCTGCAGTTGTGTACAGTTCTTGTCCGGGCTTCCTGACATGAAGCTGTTGGCAGCCACAGCTTGACATAACAATCAGTTTGGCTCCCTGTGTTAATAACAAGTTGCATAATTAGTACAGGAGTACTTTGTTATTATTCCATTTGTCCAGTCAGGGAAAGAAAATATTAACCTCTGAGGAGTCCTAGATATTTCATTAGACCCGAAGGAAAATATTCTGGGTTTAGTGTTATTTAACTTTTCTATTTAGATTCACGTCAGTTTCAAACCATGTCAATTTTAAACCACTAATTCAATATGATAACAAAAGCCAAAGTATTTTATTTCAACAGTTTTGAACTAAGTACTCTCTTGTGATTTTTTTAACTCCTATTTTCCAATATTTGCCAGTTTCCAAAAAACTCATATACAATGTCTCTTCTTGAAATGACACTTTTTAAAATTAAATGTAAACTTTAGTTTGAGGGATTTTCATCTATTTGTAAAGCACAAGTCATCTACACCGACATAACAGTGAAGACACAAACACAGCAACATCCAAAGCAACTTCTGATTTTTCCTGTATCTTTCACAAAGAGGTTCTTTTCAAAAGGGAATTGGGCAACCTGGAAAAACAGGCACTGAAGAGTTACGAGAAAGGGAAATACCACAGAGCAGCTGATAAAGGGAAGAACAACTACTTCTCCAATACAGAATTTCTAGTCTATTTCCTTTCTGGCTTTAAGTGTTTTCTAAATTATTTTGAATTTAAATGATAATAAATGCAAGTTCTTCACCTAAACCCCTCTGAAATATTATTGTAATTTAAGCAACAGGTGTACAAGAGCATGAAAATCAGGTGACAGTAGTTTTCTTGCTAAGCTGTAAGTACTCCATCAGTGATACTTACACAGATCTGCTTTGCGGAGATTTCTCATGCCTACAATTCTTACAGAAAGCCAGCACAACTGAGGCACTTCTGGCTGCAGAACAGTGGGAAAGATATCTTAATTATTAACAATTAACTCAGATATAAATAACATAGCTTATCTTATAACACCACAAAGTCCATTCTGTCATTATAATGCAGTGCATTTCATTTTAACTATTTGAGACATTTTCTGAGAAGAAATACTTTCTTGTGATTTGACTTTGACTAAAGATAACCTGTCTTTCATAGCTAGGGTCTACATTAATCAAAATGAAACTTCATTAACACAGCAAGCAGAACTGATGCAGGTTTTTTTTAAAAGAACCAGAACTGAAAAAAGCAGGAATCACTAAAGCTCTAAATAATGTAAGAAAATAGGAAGCTGAGAACACAAAGTAAAATTGGCAGTATGTTAGATTATATAATTAAACACAAATAAGCAAGAAAAGCTATAATTGTATGTAAATGCACATACTGAAAAAAAAAAAAGGCTCAAAAGCACAAACAGGTGATTCAGAATGTCTTGCCTTAATCAGGACAAACCCAGGATGGCCTGATTGATCTACCAAGGAGAAGCCCAGCAATATTGACAAGCTGTAGTGTAGGGTTCTAAAGGGGAATAGCTTGAAGACTCCACAACTCTCTCAAGTTTTTCTGTTCTCCCTCCACTCCCTGTCACAGCTAAACACAACCCTACACTTGGTTACAGGAAAAACAAGGCAGTATTGGAGAACATCAAGAGTAAAATACAACATGCAAAAGAAATAGCTCCATTATTTAAATTAAAAGCAGCACTTAAATCTCCAAAGAATCATGATTTCTGAGGAACTGCCTGCTTAGGACCTCCTTGTGTACCTCTTATTTTGATACACCCTGTCCTGACAGAAGCAGACTAAACATCTAGAAAGCAATAAGCCATCAAGCCAAATGCTATTTACAGCCTACTGGAAAGATTCTCAGCTCAACACTTTTCTCTGAGAAAGTGTTGTTTGAACAAAACCAGAAGGTCTGAAAGAAACTCATCAATCTCAGCGTAATTTTTGGCAGCAGTGTTTCTGCCGATGGAGAATGAAAGAAGTACATGATCCAAATTGCTGAAAGCTCAACATTTCATCCCAAACACAAAGGATTGATTTTTCATCCTCAGCTTTAGGATGAGGGACCATCCTAACCATATCCATGAGTTTGAAGAAAACTTATTAATGAGATGGCTTAAGTACTAAGCAACTATACTGACACAAATTATAATTCCATAGTGCTTGCAGTTAGTGAATTCACTGGTCTCCCAGATGTAAGAAAGAGTTAGCTTCATACTTTTGTACTGACTACAGCTAGGGAACAGATTGAGAAAACTCAGATGTGGAAAAATATAGAATACTGTTTTCATTTTTCAAGTTACTAAATATCTTTTCAATCAACCATTAAACAGAATAATTTTTAATATATCTAGTATGTACCATATTCAGCACTTTCCAAAACCAATTCATCTTCATAAAAATCAGTGTTCAGAAAAGTGTCAGACATGGGAGTAAGCCATTTTATTTGCTAATCTGCCTCCATAAAGTAAAGGAAAAACAAGTTAAGGACTAAGGCTTGGGTATTAAGAGGTATGACTATCATCATATAATCATACCACAGTAAACCAAGACTAAAATCCAGCTCTCCCAGTTCCTTGCCTAGCATTTAAACCACAAGGTCATCATCTTCCCAACCCCTAAGTCTCAGTGAATGCTTTGCACTCTAGACAGCACACTCACAGAAGCAGCAAATATTCCCTTAACTGTCAATAAATATCACCTCACACAAAAACAGTTAAGCTTGGTGAGAGGATGGAAAGGCTAACAGAAGATTGCAGGTAACACAGCCACCCTTTATGCCCTGCAGCTCTCTCCTTGCAATCCAGAAGCTGCCTTCTGTACAGTACCTCATTTTCAGCACTGTATGGTCTCTCATGAGTCCTCCTCGTGATTCCAATCTTCCTGTGCGGGTTTGCCCGGATGAACCAATTCTGGGGACAAAGAGACAAAAGAGGGGCCAGTGATGAAAACCAACAGTCAGTAATTTTCAGCTCCTACTCAGATTCACTGTGGCAGGAGACCCTAGCATTTCTCCCATCTCTCCTTTTCATGATGGGATATATCCATCTCACCAGGACTATCTACCTGCTGCTTTTACTGATAAATCTGCCTGCTGTAGATGCATTTGACATGTAAGGATCAAAATTCCCCAAGCATTTGCTTTTGATGAATCTCAACCAAGACAGCCAAACAGATTCTCCTGCCCCACCACTGATTTTCTCTTACCAAAGGTGAATAGGCTGATGATCCCATCAGTATCTTTGTTTCATAAAAGGCACCACTATAATGCTCCAGTCTGTGTTTCTCCCAGCTGGTAGGTGCTCCTGGACCACGATATTTTCCAACCAGCTGTGGCCAAGAAGAGTTGTATAGATTGACTCATGGCTCCACCTCCCACTGATTTCAAAAGCACAAATGATGCATTTGTTCTGCGCCACATAAAGATTTGTTTTTTTTTTCTTTTTTAACACCACAGTGATTTAGGGGTAAAAGGAGATGGGTCGAGCATTTTATCACAGGTTAATCCCAGAGTAAAGTCATTATCCACCACCATAAGGTCTGAATAACTACACACAGAGGGATCTCCTGGGGCAGTTCCAGCGCCCACCAGCTTCTCCAGTCAGATGCACAACAGCAAGGATTTTTCACCTAGTTACAAATTACTGTCATGAAGTGGAGGCTGGATTTCACAGGCACTGGCAAATACTTAAAGAAAACACCTTGTAGCTTTTCTTCTCTCTTGTTTGGTTGCATAGAGGATGTTAAGGGGTCAGCAGAGCCAGCAGGAGCTTTTGCTATTGAAACGTTTTTTAGCTGAAGTGCTGCTTTCAATTAAATTGTGTTAGAATCTCATAAGCTTTAACAAAAATAACTACACATCATGTTTTCAAAAGTTTTTAAATATCCCTGTTAAAATTGTCAAGTCTGATCTCTTTTTAATTTTATAATAATTTCCCATTATTCTTCAGTAACAGCACTCACACATAAAAACAAAAGGACCTAGTACTACTACAAAAATAGCACAGAAGCCAGCTATTGCATTAAACATTATTAAAATCACTAAAAATAGGTGTTATTCAAAAGTAAGAAATTGCAGTTGAAATAAGAGGTTTTTTTAAACTCTGTTTTTTAGAATTCTCAAATTTCTAAGAATGAAAAAACTCTTTAAAAGCAGTGGGACTTCTTGGGAAAAAATAAAAATCTGATTTTTCAACCATTTCTAATGAAAGTTTTTGATTATTCAAACTGTCCTATAAAGAGCTACCTTATATAAAGTTTCAAATTATTATTATAATTAGTCTTGCCTTTCAATAGATTCAAGCATTTAATGAATGTTTCTGCTTTATGCTGTACTGCCACTTATGCAAAAAAAGCCTGATGACTTCCCACCTAAAGTTTTTTTGTTGGGTTGTTTTGTTTTATTGTGGAACTGGTATTACAATAGAGAATTATTTCACTTGGTTTATAAAATAACATTTTCACAGTTACGTTCTGAACTGAAATGAGATTCAGCTCACAGGGTACAAGAGGCTGAACCCAAGCCATTCCATCACTTCACTCAGGCTCTGAAATCATTTCATGTCCCAGTTTGATGACTGGATTCTCCTTGTTCTTGAGGGACAAAACTTAGCCATGCACTTAGATAACATGCCATGCTCCCCACTTTATTCGCACCCTTTCCAGAACATCCACATTTGGGCCTTTTGTGGATTTCATAAATCAAATTAAGCAATAGTAAAAGTTCAAGCTGCTATGTCATTAGACTGCCCCTGCTTACTCTGCAAATAACGAGAAAAAAGAACCCAGCTAAACCACACTCCCACCCAAAAGCAGATGTAGCCCAGCAATAATAATAAATTACTTGATAACTTGACACTGCATCACAAAGCACGGTGCAGGTGAGTCACAGTCAGGAAGCCACAGGCCAGAAGACAGGGTGGTATTTCACCAACACCATCGCAACAGCAGCAGCCCACAGCAGCACTGGCTGTGGTGATAACGAGGTCTGGAGTCACACAGGCCCTTGGGCTGGGCCACATAGCTTGCAGTGTCTGGGGTGACAGAGGAGCAGAGAGCTTGCAGCAGAACCAGCACAGGCTTTGCAGCCTCTTCAGAGGCAGCTGCAAGAGCTGGAGATGCCCACTTGCCACTAAAATCCCAGTTTTGACACAGGTTCAGAATCACTTTCCTCCCACAGAGAAGAGAGCCTGATAATAATTTCTCCAATTTCTCACAGGGTTTCTACAGATATTTGAAATAAAATATTTAATATCTTATATAAAGCAAAGGGGGAAATAGCCCTCAGAGGCTGGTTCACAAGCCTCCCAAGACCAGTAGCTTTCTGAGAGAAAGGTGCCACGATAAAGAGACAGACACCTCTTGGTCCAACCTCTGACACACCAATGCAGTCACAGGGTCCAACCTCATTTCTAGAAGTACTTGTGCTTTGTTCTTCATAATGTGCTAAAGCAAAGCTGTTGGGCACCCTCTCTAGACATCAGACTTCATTTACATGACCCAAATAAGCCATCCCAAAACTTAATAATAATCCTTTCTGACCTAGATTCTGACAAATCAGAAGTGACAGCAAATTAAACCCTTAAGAAATTAAACCTCCATGCACTTTTCGTTATAAAGCACTTGGGTAAAATGAAGAACAGGGACATTAAGCTGCATTTCCTGCTTTGATAATAGAGAAAATTCCACAGGAAACATCTTTCTTGTGAGACAATAACAAATAAATTTATTTTATATTGTCTGCTGCACAGAAGTTGCACAATTGTACATATCCTGTTAAAAGTTAGTCCTAATACATCATTCAGTATGACTATAAAAAAATATTCACATTCACATTGCAAATTTAGGCCTTATCTACAAAGTAATTGCATCAATTTTCTCAGGTTATTCCCCTAAGTACATCAACACAATCTGAGGTCAGTTGACACAAGTGACAAAAACAGCAAATGAACGAGCTGCTTTGTGTTACTGCTCAGGAGACAACTCCCAAGCACTCAATTCTCAAGAACATGCTCCCCTCAAACAATGCTACTGGGGTGACCCCAATCACCACTGATGAGATATCTAGTCACAGCACTCAGAGTACACTTTCATCTTCAGATCAGACCAGAAGACATCACTTCTTTATCACTGACTCATAGGAGTCCCATATTAGAGGCTCTAAAGTTGGGTCTCCATCACCAGCCAAGCATGTGATTGTGTGCATGGGTCAACAGCCTCCAGGCAATGCAACTTATCATGCTCCTAAAGCAAAAGAAGACATCTCCAAGCATGTCTAAAGCAAAATCAAGACATCTCCACTGCTTTTTCTTTAGTGGCATTCACTGTTACTACTCTTTTTAAATTACAGCTGTGGGCTTTTCCTACAAAGCTACGGGAACTCAGAGTAAGTATTGAGTGTGAATTTGTAATTGCAGCTGAGTCACCAGCCCTAGTTAATTAAAAGAAAGAGGCTAAAAGATTCTCTGGTAGCACCCAAGAGGTGAACTGCTCTCTGGAAGGGCCCAGCTCTCTCCAGTGACTATGGTTATCATCCTATACCACTCTGACAGATATTTCTTTGCCCATTTTTTTTTTTAAGCACTTATACACATGCAACAAAGGAAGGCAGCTAGTATGTCTATGGAGTGGGTAAAAATGCCCATTAACAATGTTGTAACTATTCACACACTTTATCTGGACTCTCGTATATGCATGATAAGCAGTGTGCCCTGGTGGACAAAGAAGGCCAAAGGCTGCCTGGCTTGTATCAGAAACAGTGTGGTCAGCAGGACCAGGGCAGTGATTGTCTCCTTGTACTTGGTTCTGGTGCTGCCAAACCTTGAGTTTTGGGCCCCTCACTACAAAAAGGCCATTAGGTTTCTGGAGCAGGTCCAGAGAAGGGCAACAGAGCTGGTGAAGGGTCTGGAGCACAAGTCAGATGAAGAGCAGCTGAGGGAGCTGGGGTTGTTTAGCCTGGAGAAAAGGAGGCTCAGGGGGGACATCATCACTCTCTACAACTGCCTAAGAGGAGGTTGTAGCAAGGCAGGCGTTGGATTCTTCTCCCAAGTAACACACAACAAAACATGAGGAAATGGCCTCAAGTTGCTCCAGGGCAGGTTTAGATCAGATATTAGGAAAAATTTTCACTGGAAGTGTTGTCAAGCACTGGAACAAGCTGCCAGGGAAGTGGTTGTGTCAGCATCCCTGGAGGCATTTAAGACATGTAGATGTGACCCTTTAGGACATGGTTTAGTGGGACTTGGACACATTATGCTAATAGTTGGACTACATGATCTTAGAGGTTTTTTGCAGCCTGAATTGCTCTATGATTCTACATGGCCTTTAGATAGCTTGCAAGTGAGACTGAATCTTGTAGCAATACTCAGGCCTGATACTTTAATATGGATGGTCATGGTCTTGAGCAGAGAGAATTCGGACTTGGAACATTTAGACCTTCTGCTCTAGGTCAGAAAGAAGAAAATAGGAAGATTCCCGTTTTACAGTACTGATTGCAGATATTGGCATATTTAGTCCATTCAAAAGCCATGCAAAAAGCCTGGAGAACCTGGTCTGTTAGTTTTGGTATTGTACTTATAAGTAGCTTGTCAAAATAATCCTTACAGTTCATCATATCATTTCCTTAGACAAAGAGCAGCTGCTGGTGAGAAGGGCCATTCCTGCCCACACCTTCCTAACTGCTCTGCTCCTACAAAAGGGAGAAGTAAACATTCCTATAAGAAAACCTTCAGATGTCAAAGTGGTTGTGTAACTGGTGTCAGTCTTGACAGCACCTCTGCTTGTGACTGTTACAGGCTGTGCTTTATAAAATGAATGCTGAGTGAAAAGGTATTAAAAAAACAATAACCTCACAAGTTGTACTCAAGGAGTCATCAAAAGAGCAAGATTCTCATGCTTATCT